TCCGGGAGGGTTTGGGAGGAGCTCGGGCAGCTCGGAGGAGATTTGGGGGGAGTTTGGGAAATTTGGGGATTTTCGGGAATATTTTTGGGAATTTGGAGGATTTCTTGGGTGAATTCTGTGGGAATTCGGGGGTGTTTTTTTTGGGTGAATTCTCTGGGAATTCGGGGGTGTTTTTTTGGGTGAATTCTGTATAAATTCAGGGTGATTTTTGGGTGAGTTCTGTGGGCTTTGGGGGTGTTTTTTGGGTGAATTCTCCGGGAATTCGGGGTTTCTCCCCCCGGCAGGAGGAGCTGTCGCGGCTGCGCCGGAAGCTGGAGAAGCAGCGCAAGGTGGAGGTTTACGCCGACGCCGACCAGATCCTGCAGGAGGAGATCAAGGAGTACCGGGTGAGCCTGGGGGGACCTTCCGGAACCTTCCGGGACCTTCTGGGACCTTCCAGGGCCTTCCGGACCCTTCCGGAACCTTCCGGGACCTTCCGGAACGTTCTGGGACCTTCCCGGACCTGGGCTGACCTGGGGTCATTCCAGCTGACCTCGAGTGACCCTTAACGGCCTTTAATTACCGCTAATGACCGTTAACGCCCTCTGATGACCCCTCGCGGGTCCCGGACGGTCCTGGGTGGTCCCGGGGGGTCACTGACTGTCCTGGGCGGTCACTGCCGGTCACTGCCGGTCACTGCCGGTCCCGGGCGGTCACTGACTGTCCTGGATGGTCACTGATGGTCCTGGCCATTCCCGGGTGGTCACTGCCGGTCACTGACGGTCAGTCTCCCTCCGGCCAGGCCCGGCTGACGTGTCCGTGCTGCAACGCCCGCAAGAAGGACGCGGTGCTGACCAAGTGCTTCCACGTCTTCTGCTTCGAGTGCGTCAAGAGCCGCTACGACACGCGGCAGCGCAAGTGCCCCAAGTGCAACGCCGCCTTCGGCGCCCACGACTTCCACCGCGTCTACATCAGCTGAGTGACCCTGAGTGACAGCCCAGTGACCACTGAGTGACCACTCACCATCCCTGAGTGACCGCCCAGTGACCGCTGAGTGACCGCTCACCATCCCTGAGTGACCGCTCAGTGACCGCTGAGTGACCCTGAGTGACCACTGAGTGACCGCTGAGTGACCGCTGGGTGACCACTGAGTGACTGCTCATCATCCCTGAGTGACCGCTGGGTGACTGCTCAGTGACCGCTGAGTGACCACTCAGTGACCACTCATCATCCCTGACCACCCCTGAGTGACCCCTGAGTGAGCGCTGAGTGACCACTCACCATCCCTGAGTGACCGCCCAGTGACCGCTGAGTGACCGCCCAGTGACCCCTGAGTGACCACTGACTTCCCCTGACCACCCCTGACGTCCCCTGAGTGACCACCGAGTGACCACTCACGACCCCTGAGTGACCCCTGACCGCCCCACACCATTTCTGACCACCCCAGGGTGACCACCGGTCACTTTCAGCCACCCCTGGCCCCCTCCCGGCCACCTTTGGCCGGTCCGGAGTGGTCACCACCCTCCGACCCCTCCCCCCAGCCTTGACCTTTGACCCCTGAGCGTCCCCGCCTGGCCCCGCCCCCTTTCCCCTCTCAGCCAATAAAAACGCGCGGAATCGTTC